GACCGCGGGCGGCCAGGCGGGGCCCGGCCCGCCCCCAGCCTCTCCCCCGGGATGTGCCCCAGTGCAGCGGGACGGTTGCGCTGGGCTGTGAGCTTGTCTGGCAGCTTCTACTGAGCAGCTAATAGCATAACATCCCGTCTTTGATAAATCTGAACTAATTACCCCTCTTAATTAAAGTCTTTAGCAGTTGTTTCACTGTTTTGGCAAGAAAACAGGAGAGACTTGCAGTTAGAAAACACCAGAGCCCAGGCTCACAGTGGAGCTGCTGATTAACACTTGAAGCATTTCAAGGACCTGGCACCCGCCTCAGCTTGGTTTTCATCCACGTTTACTCCTTGAATGGAAGTATATTCATCTATAAACATATATACACACCTAAAAACATGGGCTCCCTTTGCCAGCTGTGTACAATTCAGTGCCCCGTCAGGATGCGCACAATAGACCCCCTCTGCCCGAGTGATTTTAATGCCCTGGGGATGTCCTACACACATGCCCTAGAGAGGGTGCCCCCATCTCACTGACCACTGCAAGCATGTCAGGTGGCCCAGGACAAAGACATGTGTCTGTGACAAAATTCCATATCTTCTGAACTTTATCAAATTTCATTACTTTACCAAAGTTGTAACTATTTGGAGAGACTGTTATTTGCTCTTGGTGAAGTTTTTGGATAGAACACAGGTGATACTAATACAGAGCGGAACTTTTTGAAAAGGGGGAAAGTTGAGCAGGTCAGAGTCCACGATCTCTTGCTGAATAATAGGAACAGAGCCCTGAAGCTGTTGATTAAATAAACACACTCCAAGTATTTATTTCCAACAGTCAATGAATCAGTTTTCACGTGCAAGAGTCAAAACCAAAATTCAAATTCATCCATAATGGACCACACTTACCTGATGTGAGTGTATGTGTGCAGTGAGTGTGGAATGTGCCTTTGCGGGAACACTCACCTACGCGAGTGTGTGTGTGTGTGTGACATACACACAGTGTTTTGTTACTTTGGGGAAGGAGGACATGATTCTAAACAATTGGCAGGCATCTTGAGACCACAGAATCAACACAATGGGAATATATACAATAATAAAATTAAAATGGTGCAGCATTCCTGGGTAGGATAATACAGATCTCAATAAATACAGCAGAAATTTGTTTTTAAAAAAACCAAAACAAACCAAACACTATCTCTCCAGCCAAGATGAAAAGTCTTTCCAAATTTAAAAAAACTCAGAGAAACAAAACCGTCCAATGGTTTCATACTTGTTAGTGCCTATATAGAATATCATACACAAAAACATTTAGCAGGTGCATGCAAGAGGCGAATGCAGAGGCTTCGGGTCGGCGCCAACGTCTGGGGCCCAACATGCCCTGGGTTCTGCAGACCAGCTGGGATCGGGATACTCTGCCACTGTCTCAGTAGTGGGGACCCCGGCTGAAGCTGGGGGGGCTTTGGCCTTGATCGCTGGGGGCTCGGAGGGAGCCCGGGCTGCAGGGGCCCCGGG